TTTCTGTGGAAATTGGCCCTAGTATGTGTATGTATAACTGTGAGTTAAGGCAGAGTTCCAACTGGGGGGAAAAAAATATTTAAGTCAGCAGCAACAAAAACTGTAGCTGCTGACATTTTTTTATAATACAGCCACTTAACTGTCCCTTGGTCCAGCGGTGTCCTCACCACCGCTGGTTTCACTGGCTGTCTTCTCTCCCTGGCATCTTCAGTGTGGGCACCCGGCTTTGAGAGCTTGCGTCTTCACAGCTGGGTGCCCACTGCGCATGCGCAAGTAGCGCTGTGCTTTGTGAATGGCCCCGTAGTTTTCTGGGACCTGTCACGTGTCTTAGAAGACTACGGGGAGGGGGGGGTGTAGGACAGCTTCTGCTTCTGATCGCGGAAGTGGGAGTAGGTACCTATAAAATTCAGGTACCCACTCCCGAAAGGTGCCAATCCTTAATGGAGAGCAGGGGACATAGACTTAGAGTGGAACTTCCCCTTTTGGGTGGAGCTCCGCTTTAAGGACCTTCGATTGTAAGCTCCTTGAGGGCAGTGACTGATTTGTGAACGCACAATATACAGTGAAGGAAATAAGTATTTGATCCCCTGCTGATTTTGAATGTTTGCCCACTCACAAAGAAATGATCAGTCTAAAAAAATCGAAGGGGAGGTGTATTGTAACACTGAGAGACAGAATAGCAACAAAAAATTCAAAAGAAATGCATGTCTAACAAATGATGCACTGATTTGCATGTTCATGAGGGAAATAAGTATTTGATCCCCTTCACAAAACATGACTTAGTACTTGGTGGCAAATCCCTTGTTAGCAATCAGAGGCCAGACATTTCCTGTAGTTGGCCACCAGGTTTGCACACATCTCAGGAGGGATTTTGGCCCACTCCTCTTGGCAGATCCTCTCCAAATCATTAAGGTTTGGTGGCTGACGTTTGGCAACTTGAATTTTCAGCTCCCTCCACAGATTTTCAATTGGATTAAGGTCTGGAGACTGGCAAGGCCACTCCAGGACCTTAATGTGCTTCTTCTTGAGCCACTCCTTTGTTGCCTTGATCGTGTGTTTTGGGTCATTGTCATGCTGGAACACCCATCATCAATGCCCTGGCTGAGGGAAGAAGGTTTTCACCCAAGATTTGATGGTACATTGCCCCGTCCATCGTCCCTTTTCGATGTGGTGCAGTTGTCCTGTCCCCTTATCAGAAAAACACCCCCAAAGCAGAATGTTTCCACCACCATGTTTGACAGTTGGGATGGTGTTCTTGGGGTCATAGACTGCATTCCTCCTCCAAACTTGGCTAGTTGAGTTGATGCCAAAGAGCACGATTTTGGTCTCATCTGACTACAACACTTTCAACTAGTCCTTCTCTGAAGTTTGCCACTGAACATCTGAATGATGCAGACGGGCCTGGACATGTGCTTTCTTGAGCAGAGGGACCTTGCGGGCACTGCAGGATCTCAATCCTTGTCGGCGTAGTGTGTTACCAATTGTTTTCTTGGTGACTGTGGTCCCAGCTGCCTGGAGATCATTGGCAAGATCCTCATGTGTAGTTCGGAGATGATTCCTCACTGTTCTCATGATCATTGGCACTCCACGAGGTGAGATCTTGCATGGTGCACCAGACCTAGGGAGACTGACAGTTGTTTTGTGTTTCTTCCATTTGCAAATGATTGCACCAACTGTTGTCACCTTCTCACCAAGTTGCTTGACGATAGTTTTGTAGCCCAGTCTAGCCTTGTGTAGGTCTACAGTCTTGTCCCTGACATCCTTGGACAGCTGGTCTTTGCCATGGTGGAGAGTTTGGAATCTGATTTGTTTGATTGCTCCTGTGGACAGGTGTCTTTTATACAGGTAACAAAATTAGATTATCAGCACTCCCTTAAAGAGACTGCTTCTGATCTCCGCTTATTACCTGTATGAAAGACACCTGTTTTTGTTTTGTTTTTTATGGTTGCCAATGTCCAATCCTCCTGTAGAGGGCAGTATAACCCAAAAGTTGAAGGCTTTCCTTGTCCTTCAACAGACTTCAAGAAAAGTTGTTTACAAAATCCTTTTATTTTAATGTTTACTGCAAATTAAGAATAAGAAACACTTTGCAAGTACCTTGTTGGACCACCTTTAACCTTAAGAACTGCCTTAATTCTTCATGGCATAGATTCAACAAGGAGTTGGAAACATTCCTCAGAGATTTTGGTCCATATTGACATGATAGCATCCCACAGTTGTTGCAGATTTGTTGGCTGCACATCCATAAACCACTGATACAAGGCAGGATGGATCCACCCTTTCGTGTTGTTTATGCCAAATTCTGACCCTACCATCTGAATGTTGCAGCTCAAATTGAGACACGCCAGACCAGTCAAAGTTTTTTTTTTTTTTTTTTTTTTTTTTTTTTGTATTTTTTTTTGTTTTTTCCAATCTTCTATTGTCCAATTTTGGTGAGCTTGTGCGTTTTTTCATTTCTTGTTCTTAGCTGACAGGAGTGGCACCCAGTGTGGTCTTCTGCTGCTGTAGCCCATCTGCTTCAAGGTTCGATGTATTGTGCATTCAGAGATGATATTCTGCATACCTTGGCTGTAACGAGTGGTTATTTGAGTTACTGGTGCCTTTTCTATCATCTATGCATTTTCATCCACAACTGCTGCTCACTGGATATTTTCTCTTTTTTGAACCATTCTCCATAAACCCTAGAGATATTTTGTGTGTAAAATACCCTGTAGGTCAGCAGTTGTTTAAATAATCAGACCAGCCCTTCAGGCACCAACAACCATGCTACCTTCAAAGTCACTTAAATCCCCTTTCTTCCCTATTATGATGCTCAATTTGAACTTCAGCAAGTTGTTGTCACCACGTCTAGATGCCTAAATGCTTTGAGTTGCTGCCATGTGATTGGCTGATTAGCAATTTGTGTTACCAAGCGATTGAACAGGTGTACCTAATAAAGAGGTCGGTGAGTGTATTTGATTGTATACACTTCTAAAGACTACAGCAACACTTTAACCACTTGCCTACCAGGCACTTATACCCCCTTATTTACCAGGCCAATTTTCAGCTTTCAGCGCTGCCGCACTTTGATTGACAATTGCGCGGTCATGCAACATTGTACCCATATGAAATTTTGATCATTTTTTTCTCACAAATAGAGCTTTCTTTTGGTGGTATTTAATCGCCACTGGGCGCTTTACTTTTTGCACTATAAATAAAAAAAAGTGCAAAAAATTTGAAAAAAAAAAGTCTGTTTCTATTATAAAATTTTTCAAACAGGTATTTTTTCTCCTTCACTGATGTGCGTTGATGAGGCAGCACTGATGGGCACTGATGGGCACTGATAGGCAGCACTAAAGGGCACTGATAGGCAGTACTAATGAGGTGGCACGGATAGACAGCACTAATGAGGTGTCACAAATAGGCGGCACTAATATGCAGCACTGATAGGCGGCACTGATAGGTGACACTGATGATAGGTACTGATAGACGGCACTGACTGGCATCACTGCTGGGCACTGACTGGCGGCACTGACTGGCACAACCCCTGGGCACTGACTGGTGGCACTGACTGGCTGCACTGCTGGGCAGCACTGCTGGGCAGCACTGGTGGGTGGGCACAGGTGGGTGGCACTGCTGGGCACAGGTGGGTGGCACTGCTGGGCACAGGTGGGTGGCACTGCTGGGCACAGGTGGGTGACACTGCAGAGTGGCACAGGTGGGTGCACTGCTGGGCACAGGTGGGTGCACTGCTGGGCACAGGTGGGTGCACTGCTGGGCACAGGTGGGCGGAGCTAGTGGGCGCACTGCTGGGCACAGGTGGGCGGAACTTGCGGGTGGCACTGCTGGGCACCGATCATCAGGGCACTGATCATCAGTGCCCTGATGATGGGTGCCGATCCCCGCTCTGACAACTGCCGGTTCTCGGCAGTACTTTCCTCACGATCTGACAGCGTGAGGAAAGTGCAGCCGAGAACCGGCACTTGCATTTCCCTGTGATCAGCGTGTCATTGGACACCGCTGATCACGTGGTAAAAGGCCGCTGTGATTGGCCTTTTACCATATTACGTGATCAGCTGTGTCCGTAGGACACAGCGATCACGGAGATTGCCGGGTGCGCAGGAGAGCGCGTTCTGGGAGGACGTCATATGATGTCCACTCAGAACTGGCCGGCCGCAGTGTAGCCGTCATTCGGCTATCTGTGGTCGGCAACTAGTTAATTATCTAATGTGTTTTTTACTTTGTAATAAAGATATCTTCAGTCCTTTTCTTGAGTACCTTGATAATTAAAAAGTACATTTTTAATTTTGCAGGATACAACTTTTGTTTTTACTCACTGTAAATGAGTACATCCTTCTATGTTTTATATATTTGTTTTTGCAAGGTAGGCTTTTTTTTTTTCTTCAGTGCCTTTGTGGGAGGTGTTTAAAGAAACATCAACTAAACAAACTTTCAGTTTTTATCAGCTAAATCATTTCCATGGGCATGAAAACAAGGGTGTTCGAAGTCATATGGTTCATTTTCTTTAGCAGCCACTACTGGAGTAGAAACGAGCCCCTCCCCACACTAAGGCAAAACTATAGGTCAGCAGTCTGCAAAGCTTAAGTTCCCTGCTGATTGGAGAGCTCTAGTGTTGATGCAGCAGGGGTGTGTCAGACCTCCTATGGAGAATCCACTGCTTTCACACACACAGGAAGGATCCCACTGTGCAGCATGCTGGCAGGGGATAGACTTTTGTAAAGCTGTGGTTGCTTTTTAAAGACCAAGAACTAATTTACTTTACACAGCTTTTGTTTTTAAGCACCTGAGACGTACTTGGTTAATTTAAAATTAAAGTTCAGTGGGGCAGTGGATAGGAATTTAAATCCGATTACTTGATAATTTACCACGGCTGTGAGCATACCGTAGTTTTATTTTGTTTATGGTACATTTTCTAGTTACATCTAGTTACAGTTGTTAAAAAATATTGAAATGGTTATTTTTGTGCTTCTTCTTTTTTCTTTTTTTTTTTTTTTTCTTAGGTGATTGTTCAAAATTACAACTCCATCTTGACTCTTTCTCACCTTTATCTAACCTCTGATGCTCTGCTAGTTCATGAAAATGACATCATTCACAAAATCTGTTCCCAGCTGATGAATATTAAACACATTACCTTTAAGGATGTTAATAAAGTCATTGCACACCAACTTGGCAGTGTGTTTCAGCCTGCTTATACCTCAGAGAGTTCATATTACAGCAAAAATCATCTTGGTATGTAATGATACAAGTTACTTTTCAATCTGTTTTACTAAATGTCATTATCTGTGTTGTTACAATCCTAGGTCATTTAGTGCTTTTCAGGTATGTATCTGATATAAATGCCGATAACCATGTATAACCAACAATAAGTACACTCTCTATTAAGAAAAACTATTGATATATACAAGTTTTGGAGCCTGTTTATAGTAACCATTTATCTTACTAATTGTGAGGTTATCTCCTTTTTACAGGCTGTAAGTCAATTTTCTGTATAGTAACATGACAGTATCCAGGGACAATAAGTGAAATTAAACCCCATCCTCATTCAGGGCACTTTGCCCAGATGCTAGTACATTTATAAATATGCTATATGTGGTTTGTAAATGAAGGCTAGCCCGGTCTGGAATTTCAGCCTCAAACATGTACGACATGAGGCTTAGTGTATGATTCTATGAATATATTTTAGGAATTTGAAAGGTATTTTTGAAACATGTATTAAGATGGCCTCATGTTATTATGCTTCATCATGTACCTGTAAAACAACGTTACAATCTTCAAAATACCCCCCCCCCCCCCCCCAAGTAGCCCTTTTAAGTTAAAATGTGGAATTACATAAGTATTCTTCTGTCACATCCCACAATGCAACGTGGACACATCTTAAAGCCCAGAAGCCACTTGGGAAAATTCTGAAGTTCCTGGATGCAAAAAAGGGAGATTAAAGAATATATGAATAAAGCAGCCACCTGGCATTTTGGAGACGCAGAAAGACACAGAAAAATCGAGGTAGAGGATGGCAGTAATCCTTTTGAGTTCTATTCCCTGCACCCATGCATTGACTTTGCTTCCCAAATCTCTGCAAAAGCCGACAGATGACAACCCCCCCCCAACTTCTAATGGGTGTGAAAGATGACATGCGAGCCTGGACTGGATCCTGATGTACTGGAATGAAAGGAGCACATTGATTAGAAGATGCTGACTTGGGTAAATGAGTGATCTTACACTCTATTGCAACTTTAAATATGTCATCTAGTGAAGAGCTGAAAAAACCGTCCCCAATCAGCATTTAAAGTGTAACCCCACTTTTTTTGTTGAGAAAAAAAATCACTTCTGAGTGATCAATGTGCATTGCAGGGACGTTGCAAACAAAAAGCTTTTTTTTCTTCAGCACTGAAACAAAGTTTGTTAAAGTTAATCTGAATGGGAGTGAGTGACTTTTTGATTTCTAATCTGCTGATGCATTTTCAGTGTTCAAGTGAGGAAAATGCAGGGGCTGCATCCTTTTCGAAGCGATTAACCCTGTGGGAGTATTGCACCAAAAACCATATTTTTGTTGCAGAGGATGCCAAAAATCTGACTTGTATTTTTGTGCAGACTTTTGGAAAAGTCAGTGAGCCAATCACACAAGCAAGAAATTACATTTCTGGGGGTGTTCCTTACTCTAATGGTGCCCTATGATCTGAACAGAAAGAAGGGTTACCTAAGAAACAATCCTTCAACCATCCAGTGCAACATCGAAGTGCCTATCACCTGGTCAACACATTTGATAAACTGAGAAGCTTCCAGATCCTTGTTTAGCAATTTTAGATCAGTCAGTCTAGATTCAACGTTAGAGAAAGGAGTGTACAGCCTCAATTAGAAAAAAATAGTTTCTCTCCTGTGTTGGTGAAACAACTGCTGTCTAACATTCTGAAAAAATAGGCATTTCTACATCGCAATCCACTGAGTAAGGAAGTAGTGCAAAATACAAAAATTTTACAAACATGAGGAGAAATAAGTTGCATTATCTCAGTAATTAAATCCTTGCACAACAGAAGAAAACACCTCTGCTCTGAGGCAGATAGAGGAATGAGCACCAAAGGTCAATGGGGGTCAGAAATTACCACTGCTGCAGGCAGATCCAGCTGGGACTTGTAAGAAGTGCAAAAAGGACAAGGTTTTCCCATGCCAAGCTCTATCTTGCACATTGCAAATTAGGTCCTGAGTTGATGGATCATCTGCAGCCACATGAGGGCCACCCTTCTGTTTAAAGCCAGACATGCTGCCAAAATCAGAAGGTTGTTGCAGTTTTAAGAAATAGAGTGCTAACCCACTCTCCAAGGAATACTCAATGACCAGCTGACTGAGGAACTTCCAGGAGGAATAAAGGTTGTGGAAAGTGACCGCTGTCACTGCAGGCATATCACTAAATGTAAAAATGCTGTGTCTGCTAATCACTTGGCTGTGCACCTGATTAGAAGGCTGCTTGCAGACATCTGGCCTCACTGCTGTGTGAGACTCTAGCCTCAAAAGTGGCATCATTGAAAGTCCAACATCCATGGGTAGGATAGTCTTTACAGAAGGCTGGTCGAAAATCTAACATCACAAAGCCATCCTGAGGCACTTAACTGCTGGAGCAGGAACTCTGCAAGTTCAAATATTTGGTGACAAGACAGTCGTCCCGTCACCATGTGGTAAATATCCTTAAGGTCCACAAGTTTTGGAGCAATCCGCAAAAGCAATATGAGTGCCTGCATAGGTGGCTGAAGAGGAGGGCTTGTATACGAAGGCTCCCACTTTGGTGAGCTGTTTCAGCCAGCTGTGTTGCTGCCTTCTTTGCTGCTGGAAAGGGTTCCTGTTAAACAAGATGGAACGGTCAAGATATTATGTTCAGTGAGAGCAACACATGGAGAATGGGCAGTGATTTTCAGCTATCTGCCCTCTTTCCCACGTACCATTTGAGAGAAAAATGGGTAGTGTGTGCATGTGCCAACTTGCTCTGCCTTCTCAGAAGTGCTGTCACTAGGAAGCAGCAAATTTTTAAAATTGGTGTTTTGGGCATAAGCAGTACTCAGCTGCCAGAGTAAAAACAGTGTACACACCTGTCAGCTAGAGATTCAATAAAAAGAGTCCCCATTCACAAAAATAATCCCAGCTTGTAGAAACAAAACAAGAGAATAAACAAAAGCAAGGCCAGAAAAAGGCGTATACACTGTCTCAGGAAAGATAAGAAGGCTCGTTGATTAAAGCTGGCCATGGATGGATAGTGTTTTTGTTTTTTTCCACACATTCAAGGTGAATGAAGGAATCTTCCCCTTGAACTGTTGTATTCTGACAGTGAAAACTCCTCCACTGTCAGAATACATTGATCAGTGCTGCAGCCGTTTGGCTGCCTTCACTGATTGAGCTGAAATTCCCCAACATTTCTGATCGAGAAGTTGATAGTTAGACTTTTCTCTGGCCAGAACGGCCATAGATGGATTGAAAATTCTGCCTGTTGTTCAGCTGGCCAAATTTCGCTCCATCTATGGCCAGCTTTACGGGAGAGACTTTCTTCAGGATTTTCAATATCCAGTCTGAATCCTCTAGTACCTGTTGATACAGTTGTGCTCAAAAGTTTGCATACCGTGGGAGAAATCAAGAAATATTGAAAATATGACTAATCATGCCAAAACCTCATAGTAGTTTGGCTTTTTTTTTTTTAAATCATAATAACTGAAATCGCCCACATGGCCCTGGTAACAAGTTTACATACCCTGGAATGTTTGGCCTTGGTACAGACACACAAGGTGGCACACAGGTTAAAATTGCAATAAAGGTTATTTTCCCACATAATGTCTGTGTATAAATAGTCAATGAGTTTGTTAGCTCTCACGTGGGTGCACTGAGCAGGCTAGATACTGAGCCATGGAGAGCAGAACTGTCAAAAAGCCTACGTAACAAGGTAATGGAACTTTTTTTAAAGATGTAAAGGATATAAAAAGATATCCAAAGCCTTGAATATATCAGTCAGTACTGTTCAATCACTTATTAAGATGTGTAAAATTTTGGGATCTCTTGATACCAAGCCAAGGTCAGGTAGACCCAAGAGATTGCAGCCACATCTGCCAGAAGAAGTCTTTGGGATACAAAGAAAAACCCACAAGTAACATCAGGAAAAGTACAGGCTTCTCTGGAAAAACACGGTATAGTTGTTTCAAGGAGCACTATATGATGATGCTTGAACAAAGATGAGCTACATGGTCCAGTTGCCAGACATAAGCCTTTATTTGGCCAATGCTACAAAAAAGCCTGATTATAATTATGCCGGACAACACCTTGACATGCCTCACTGGGCTTTTTTGTGGCATTGGTGTAGTAAAGGCTTCTTTCTGGCAACTCAACCATGCAGCCCATTTTTGTTGCAGTACCGTCGCATTGTGCTGTCAATTTACGCAGCGCTATACATACATATATATATGTGTGTGTGTGTGTGTACAATCGAAGGTCCCAAACTCAGATTCCTACATACACATACTAGGACCTATTTAGACGGGAGCCAGTCGAACTACCAGTATGTCTTCTGAATGTGCGAGGAAACCGGAGTACTGGGAGAAACCCCACACAGGCACAGGGAGAACATGCAAGCTCCAGGCAGGTAGTGCCAAAGCTGGGATTTGAAATGAAGACCCTAGTGCTGTCAGGTGCAAGTGCTAACCACTTCTCTCTTTTTTTTTTTTTTTTTTAAATGCATTTTATTTTGTTATTGCACATTTAATGGCGGTGTAAATTTGTTTTGTATTAACTTCTTCTAATCATGATCTTGATTTCTTATCTGATCTGAGTAGTTGGTGTTATGTGCGTGCTTGAATTTTGATTGCTGCAACTAGTCACTTGTAAAAAATGTTTTTGTCAAGTGGGTGCAGGGCGTTTCCTTGAGCTATTAGTATAGGGGTTTTAGCATGTGTCTATCTTGGCCTCCCTAAAGACAGGATTGGTGCTTGGCAGTTGGCCTTTCAAGCAACCAGCATTGTCATATGGGGGTGGGCAGAGAGTCCTCAGCCTTGTATTAAACAAGGTTGATTTTTTTTTTGTCTCCCGTGGGGGAACAGGGTGGCAGGGGAACAAACAGAAATTAAAGCAAACCTGTTTCTTTGCCCTACCTGGACAAAGCATAGGTTCATTTTAAAGTGAACCTGATCTAGTCTAAATCTTGCCTAAGGGTGCACTCACGCTAGCACTCTAAACTAGTCCTAGACACGGTTCATCCTGTTGGGCCATTTCCGTTTGTGTAGCGTGAGTGCTCTGGACCATGCCCAGGACCACTTGGAACAGGTATTTTTGGGCATGGTACACTTCTGATCTGGTATGGTTTGCTGCAGTGTGAGTGGAAACCGTGCCAGAGTACAGTTCTCTCCATATAGAAAATGTTTAATGAAACTGAGATTGCTGGTCTAGTTATCAGGGGAGTGTGCAAATCGGGAGGCGAGGCAAGTAGATCCTGGCACAGTACACTTAAAATACTCCCCATATGAGTGCCCTCAAAGTAATAGTGGTGATGTACATGCATGATGTGGTTGTATATTAGAGCTAAAATGGACTGATCCATAACTGCAAGAAAAGGGATAACACTATCTTGGGGTGTACTTACACCTGTTTAACTGAACTGTGCCCGAGTTTAATCCTCCTCACTGGTTTGTAAGGAAGTGTTCCTAGGCATACTCCCCTGCTAACCAGACCAGCGATCCTGTTTTACTACATAGTTCATTATGGGGAGAACTGTGCTGCAGCACAGTTTGCACTCACACTGCAGCAAACTGTACTAGATCACAAATGAACTCTACTCCAGAGCACTTACACTACCCAAATGGACCAGCCCAAGGTGCTGAAGTTCTCTTAGGACTACTTAAGTGTTCGTGTGAGTGCAAGGAAATTTCCAGGAGAGGTCAGCAATATCTATGTCCATGATACTTTAAAAGTGACTCTGTCGCTATACAAAATGTCAGTGAAGGTATACCTGTAAAAAAAAACTGTGTACATACACTCCTGTTCTGTGGCCTATGCTGCTTAATGCACCACTGATCTTGTGAAATAGTCCGAAGTCTGCAGGGGAACAGACACCTCTGGTTTCTCTTGCTGATCTCCATGTCACCACTGTCTCCTATAAAGACATAATGTCAGCTGGAGGAACCACTGGAAGCTGCATGGGACCCTGGAGATAAACACTCCCAGAAGTATCAATTTCCCTGTGGACTTTGGGCGACCATTTCTCAGGCATTGAGCAGCATAGGCAGTGGGTAGGTGAGGTGTTTAACAGATTTGGCTTCACAGGGACACTGTATAGAACTTATAGAACCTTTGAATGTGTTTAATATTAGCTTCTGGTGACGCACTTAACAGGTGGTGACACTTGCACAGACTATAGTTTAAGGAACATTTTCAAGTTGAAGGAATGTTTTTAAATATAGCTTTCCATTCATAGTAGCCTTAAAATGCTTCTTGTCATGCCTAGTCAGCATGTACTTTTTTTTTTTTTTTTTTTTTTTTTCCCCGTCATGTTAAGGATTTGAACAGTAGACAACTTGACAGCTGTACAACTGCGGTCCCAGAGAATTCTTGACCTGCTAAATGCAGTCTGTAACTGACTGAGTTTAATAGACTGGAACAAACAGTCCACCACTGCAATTTCTTTTTAAATGAAAATATCACACTAAAAGAACTTTAAAAAAAAAACTATTTAATTCAGGTTTGTTTAATACACTTTTTCCTTCTCTCTTCCCAGGGGAATTAATGGAGTGCTTGGTTCCACACCCTGAATTTAAGATGCTAGGTCTCCGTAACATTCCTCAGATGTCTGAACACTCCCTGGCATACAGCACATTTACTTGGCATGGGCTCATCAAGCATTTGAGACAAATGCTCATTGCTAATGCAAAAATGGAAGAAGGTGCGAGCAGTCATATATAATAAAGCTCAAAATAAATATAAATAACTGCAGTTTGAAAATAACTGTTCTTGTAAGTTGCATGAGTTTATTTGTCTTGGATGTTCCTCTGGTGACTTTGGCCAGGTCATTGGAAAAACATCTCCTTCCCCTCACACTAAAGAAGCATCTTTACTGGCATATAGTGTGGTTACAGCACCCACAGTCTGAACTCCACCAAACTGGAGTCCAGTGACTCTCATACTTGAACAGACCCCTCTCAGTGTTTGTGTCTTGAACCAGACATGCACTTGGCAGTTTTCAAATATTCTTTCGTGTTTGGGGTCATCCTGAATTCTGTAGCTCTGCCCAGTGGAAAAGAAAAATATTCCGATATATTTTGTAACTAAAAGGGAGTTCATTTTGCCTTTTTAACATTCTTATTACCGATTTTAAAGATATACATGGAGTTTGTTTAGTTGATTAAAAACCTTTTAAAAAAATTAGGACTTTTGTGAAAACAGAAGGAAAACAATTTTTTTTGCTTTTGTTTGTTTTTTTTTCAACTTGCAATATTTAAATTGTCATTTTCCTAGTACCTGTTAGGAATGCAAAAAAGCAAACACCAAATTGGTTTCTATGGACAGCAGGTTGAATTTTTCCTTATTCTTGGTTTTAATTACCAAGTTGCACTGTAATATAATTATTTCCTAGTTCAGATTTTGCCTAAAGTGAATTTGTCACAAAAATAGACAAGTCAAACAGGATATATGACAAAAAAATACATAATCATAAGTTGGCATCTATGAAAAGCACATATCAAAACAATCAGCAGATTCAAAGAGAGAAGCAATGGAATAGTACTGTATGCAAATCATTACACACACACACACACACACACACACACACACACACACAAACACTGAACTTCGCTATCATTATTCTTTAACATGCTGGAAAATGCTGGCCTATAGGAATGTTCAAACGATAGGGCCTAGCTCAGCTTTTACAAGAGCATTTGGGACTTGCATATAACTTCAAATGCCTATGCTTTTGGATCTGCTGATTTTTGTTTTTTTTTTTTTGTTTTGACACGGTCAGTTGAAAGTAACCCTTTGATATATATTTATTAATATATCTGGACTGTCTGAACTTCCGAGGTTTGCAACAGATTTGCTTTAAGACACTGCATTAGTTATCAATACATTTACTTGTCAAGTTTAAAATATAGCTTTGTTGAAAAGCCTATTAAGGGTTTTTTAAATAAGTGAAAAAAAGTGTGTTTTTTTTGTTGTTTTTTTTTTTGTTTTTGTTTTTTTTATCATTTTTTATTTTTTTTCTATTTTGTAAAGATTACTTATATTTTTTTTTATTTTATTAAAAGGTATAAACTGGCAAATTCAGCCCCCATCACACCATAAAACAGAGAAGATTTCCTTGAAAACTGGACTTCAGTTTAATAGATCATTGGCTAACCTTGCTATATTTCGGGGAAAGGATATTGAGTCTGCATCTCCTGGTGAGCAGCATTCAGTAAATTGGTGTGTAATGCAGCATGATCTGTGTGTGTATGCTTTAAAATAACCAGCAGTTATTTAGTGAAACAATATCCTCTCAAGATCGGTTATTTTCATTGTCAGGATTTCATTGTACTCTACCTGCTCCTGTTTGTCTCAAATCGAAATACAACTTCAAAGTGAAAGGTAATGGTAGAGAAAAGTGAGAGGATATGCTTGCTAGAATATACTCACTTCCTGTGTTCTAGTTAAAAAATAATTAGTGTGGATTAACACATGTGCAATTCAACTTGAAGCTCTTTTTTCACAGCTAATTGACATAGTTGTTGTTCAGGTCAGGTTTAGATCAGGTCAGATTTGGTTCAAGATCAGGAGAGAAAACTGGCCTGAAATTGTGTTCACAAACTCATAATGTGTGATTCAGAAGCAGTTTTCATAGAAGTCAGTGGGCCTTTAATTTTTTTTTTTTTCCAATGCACACTGAAGCTGCACTGCTAGTGCATTGGTCATGCGCTATATTGCTAAAAGTATTGGGACACCTGCCTTTAAACACACATGCACTTTAATGGCATCCCAGTCTTAGTCCGTAGGGTTCAATATTGAGTTGGCCCACCCTTTGCAGCTATAACAACTTTAACTCTTCTGGGAAGGCTGTCCACAAGGTTTAGGAGTGTGTTTATGGGAATGTTTGACCATTCTTCCAGAAGAACATTTGTGAGGTCAGGCATGGATGTCGGACAAGAAGGCCTGGCTCACAGTCTCCGCTCTAATTCATCCCAAAGGTGTTCTGTCAGGATTAGGTCAGGACTCTGTGGTGGAGGAACTTGACTGACCTGCACAAACTCGCTCATCCATGTCTTTATGGCCTTTGCTTTGTGCACTGGTGCGCAGTCATGTTGTAACAGGAAGGGGCCATTCCCAAACTGTTCCCACAAAGTTGGGAGCATGAAATTGTCCAATATGTCTTGGTATGCTGATGCCTTAAGAGTTCCCTTCACGGAAACTAAGGGGCCAAGGCCAACCCCTGAAAAGCAACCCCACACCATAATCCCACCTCCACCAAACTTTACACTTTGCACAATGCAGTCAGGCAAGTACCGTTCTTCTGGAAACCGCCAAACCCAGACACGTCCATCGGATAGACAGAGAAGCGTGATTCGTCGCTCCAGAGAACATATCTCCACTGCTCTAGAGTCCAGTGGCAGCATCCTTTACACCAATGCATTCAACACTTTGCGTTGCACTAGGTGATGTAAGGCTTGGATGCAGCTGCTAGGCCAAAGAAACCCATTCCATGAAGCTCTCTATGCACTGTTGTGGTAAACTGAAGGCTACACAAAGTTTGGAGGTCTTTAGCTATTGACTCTGCAGACAGTTGGCAACTTCTGCGCACTGTGTGCTTCAGCATGCACTGACCCTGCTCTGTCATTTTACGTGGCCTACCACTTTGTGGCTGAGTTGCTGTTCCCAGTTGCTTCCACTTTGTTATAATACCACTAACAGCTGACTGTGGAATATTTAATAGCAAGGAAATTTCATGGATCGACTTTTTGCACAGGTGGCAACCTATCACAGTACCACACTTGAATTCACTGAGCTCCTGAGAGCAACCCATTCTTTCACAAATGTTTGTAAAAGCAGTCTGGATTTTATACACCTGTGTCCATGGAACTGATTGGAACACCTGAATCCAATAATTTGGAGGGGTGTCCCCATACTTTTGGCAATATAGTGTATGTGAACAGGCACCACAGGAAGCAATGCTATTTCACATGTCATGTGGATTGGATGCGGTTCAATGCGTATATATGTAAACCGGCTCTTAAATTTGAGTTTAGAATTGCTTCAGCAATCTCACAACAATATGCAGAATGTACCCAGTGTTTCCCGCTTTGTAAGAAAATGACACTGGAATTGCTGCTACTTTTTGGAAAGTAGTAATTGGCTGGAAATTTAATTGTATAGGTGTTCCAACATATTATATTACAAAATGATTTTATAGCAGTCCTATATGTTAGACCAATTTTACTTTAATAACAAGAATGTTAATTTGCTTTTTAAATTTGTGGGGGTTTTTTTTGTTTTTGTTTGTTTTTGTTTTTTTTTTTTTTTAATCAGATTTTATTTAGGGAAAAAAAAATTACACCATAAACAAAATATAAACCATACATACAATACTCGCCACGCAGGGCATCATTAAAAAAAGGAAAAAAGATTAAAAAAAAAAAATCCCACAGTGCTGACATGATGGCACCTTAGAGCATAATATTAAATTATTGGGATGCTACAGCCATAACCATTAAAACTGGGCATCTATAGAAAGTAATATCATATTTTCCAATATATAAACTCCAATGCTTAAAACAGAAACTTAACCTACTCCGGTACTGGGAACATTAACTCAAAGCATTTTGACCATATGGCATCAAATTTCCTCAAATAATTTCTTAAAATGTATGTGTGTTTTTCAAAAGAAATCGCTTTAAGATCAAAAAGAGAGGTCCACTTAAGGGCAATTTGTCCGCTGGCTGCAAAAATTGCTCACAGAATAGTAATTACCATAGCTCAGTAGACATGCAAGTGGCTGAACAGGAACATTCACATCCAAAAGCCCGTTGAGTGTTCCAAGCACCTCTGCCCAATATCTCCTGGAGTTTGGGATACCTCCACAGAAAGTGTATGAGTACCAGGATTACCACATCTGGCACAAGCTGGGTCAGATTTCAAACCTATGGCAGGAAGAAATTCAGGAGTTATATGAAAAATTAAAAATCTGTGTTAAACTATGTGATGGAGAAAGAGAAACAAGAGGGAGATACCTAAGGATCTCCCTCCCCCCCCAAACCTCCTCCGAGATAGGGTCGATATCCTGTTCCCATCCTGCCGTGGACTGAAGAGGAATCTCCAATAAAAATGTATCTAATAAGACAATGTATGCATCAGAAATGAGCCCCTCAGTTGATGTTGCTTGTACTATTCTGTCCAGAGCTGGAGTAGAAGAAAAGAACACTGCAGTTGAGGAAAATTGAGCTAGTAGTGCATGGCACAGTTAACGTACTGATAGAACCACCTTTTGATGTAAAGGTAACTCTGTCCTCAGTGCGCAATAGCTGCTTAAATGTTTATCTGAAAGGAAACTTTAGATATCGGCATGGATTTTATCAGAAACTTCATAAATACTGTCAGAATAGCCTGCATGTAGTCTATGGCTTTAAACTGGTTAAACACAAAGCGAATTTGCTGATGAAGTGGCCAAAATTCAAGTGGAGGGTAACATTAGCATGTTGCTAAGCACTGCAGCAGACAGACTTGTAGTTATCAATAGAACACAAGTACGGTAATCACTGCTTTTAATCCATTGACACTTCCTCCAGCTCTCTGAATAAAAGAGCGTTTCTTGGAGACTTGCATTGCACCCGAGAGCCACAACTTTGCAGGCTTTCCTGCTAGAATATGTGCACTTATTACAACCCCAATTCCAAAATAATTGGAACACAGTGTAAAATCGACCTGAAAATTAAAGGCAATGATTTTCGAGTCCTCATAAACCCATATTTTATACACAATAAAGAAGAGAAAACATATTAAATGTTTAAACCTGAGAAAATGTACTGTTTTTTTTTAAACGTTTGTAAACCCAGCCAGCAATCCTGGCTCCTCCCCTCTGCCGAGTACCCCCCACAGTAAGCCGCTTGGTATGGAGGCATTAGTGCTGGCTCGATCTGAAATTGGCTGTGTGTAGCCATTGACCCAAAGAGTGTGGCTCGACCCCCACCCCTGCTCCCTCCTCACTGGCTGTGATTGACAGTAGCGGGAGCCAGTTGTTTCTTTTGCTGTCTCTGAGCCAGTTAGGAGTTAGAGAGCCAAGTGAGCTGAGGCTCTCGTGCACATCGTTGTATCTAGATTGAGCTCAGGTAGTTATAAGGGGGGGCTGGGGGGAGCTGAGCATTGAAAGTTCTTTACCCTAATGCAGAGAAAGCATTAACGTGAATGACCTTTTAGCCAGCAACACATCTCAAAAAAGTTGGGACAGGGCAACAAAAAGCTGGCAAAGTGGTACTAAGGGTTCAAGGAATAGCTTGAACAATTTGCAACTAATTAGTTTAATTGGAAACAGGTCAGTAACATAATTTGGTATACAGAGCATCTTAGAGAGTCAGAGTGTCTCAAAAGCAAAGATGGTCAGAGGTTCACCAATCTGTTCAGCAATTTTTAGAATCTTCTTTTCACAATTTCAGAATAATGTTCCTCAATGTACAATTGCAGACTTTAAATAATCATCTGCAGTACATAATATCAAAAGATTCTGAGAATATGGAGAAATCTCTGTACTCAAGGTGCAAGGCCGAAACGCTATATTGGATGCCATCTTCTGGCCCTCCAACAGCAATACAGTAAAAAATGGGCATCGACTGACATTGATGTATGGGCTCAGGAATAATTCCAAAAATCACGTCTTTGGACAAAGTTCGCCATGCCATCCAAAGATACGAGTTAAAACTCTATCATGCAAAGAAGAAGCCATCTCTGAATGTGATCCAGAAACGCCGTTGTCTTCTGTGGTCCAAGGTCCATTTAAAATGGTCTGTTGCAAAGTGGAAAAATGTCAAATTTTTATTTGTCTGACCAAAGAACAGTTTTTTTTTGTTTACCATGGGCATCGTGTCCTCTGGACAAAAGAGGATGGAGACCTTCTGGCTTATCAGTGCTCCGTTCAAAAGCCTGCATCTCTGATGGTATTGGAGGCCCATTGGCACGTATGGAACGGGCAGCTTGCACATCTGGAAAGTCACCATCATTGCAGAAAGCTATATCCAGGTTTTAGAGCAGCAAATGCTCCGTTAAGAATTGGACTACATTCCTCTCCCAAAACTCCAGCAACTGGTCTCCTCTGTTACCAGTAGTTTTAGAGCGTGTTGTTAAATGAAGAGGGGATGCTACACCGAGGTAAATATGGCCCTGTTCCAGCTTCATTTGGAATTTGGGTTGTATTTTGCCATTTTTGTTGCCCTGTCCCAACGTTGTGAGGCACGTTGCTACAATCCGTTTCAAACTACCTCTTCTTTTTTTTTTTTCTTAAAATGGTACATTTTCTCAGTTTAAACACTTTATGTTTTATACTTTCTACTGTGAATAAAAGGTTTTGAGATTTGCATATCATTGCATTCGGATTTTACACAATTTTTTTTTTCTCTACAATTTTTTTTGTAATTTGGTGGGGGTTTTTTTTTATTCTTTTTAAAGTGTTACTAAACCCATTACCCTGCATTCACTAGATCAGCTCTCCCACAGTACACAGAACATGGAAATGCAATTATTTTAGTAAATCTAACTGCTGATGAGAAGAGGTATTTAGCAGTCCTGTGACTTCTATCAGTGTCCAGCCGAGCACTGGTTAAAACTTGTAGGAGTTTTCATTCTCCTCTCACTGCCCTATGAGATTGCATAACCCCTGACCCTCTGTCTGGACAGAGTGCTGTGCTGATCATATGCACCCTCAAAAGAAAAAAAAAAAAAACTCTAGCAGTACACACCAAACTGAGCTTGTGCAGAGTGTCCACGAGGCTGTGTTCTATCAGGAGATGAAATGGGGAGCTTGGAAGAAGGGAGGATCAGAGGCGACAAGATCAAACATCCTTTTTACACAATGCAGAGGATTAACCCCTTAGGTACCACAGTGAATATAACAAGCATGCTTTACTGCATATAAAGACTGATTTTATTGTTGTGGGTTTAGTAACATTTTAAAGGTGAACCTAGCCTTGCTGTGAAAACCTCATGTCAAAGACATCAACATATCCAGGGAGAATGGCAGTTTTAGTTGTATGCAGATAAAGATTGTTCCTCACTTTGGTCAATGAGGTTACCCGTTATGCAAAAAGGCTAAATGGAGGACTCTGAAAGGCAAGATGAGTCAGAAATAAGCTGTACACGATAAGTCAGTATTTCCAGGTAACGTCTGTGGTGTTTTTTGGTATCCCATTAACAAATAACATAGTAGTAATGATATGTATAGTGTTCTTTCTCTGTATCTAACTTATCCTTTCTTGCCCATCAGTGAGGGGTTTTTTTCCCTTCTCATTTACAAATAACCTAGCAGCAATATATATGTATAGTGTTCTCTCTCTGTATCAGACTTATCCTTTCTTGCACATCAGTGAGTTTTTTGTTTTTTAATTGGGGGGGAAACTCTGAACTCCACCCAAAATTAAAAAAAATACTTGAACATTTTTAAATAAAACACATTCTCTAAGCCTAAATTATATAGCGCCAAAGGGTATGCTCAGCGCTGTACAGTAGCAAGGGGGACAGAACATGAGACAAGACAGTAGCAATACAATACACAAGGGGTTCGAGGGGCCCTGCTCTTTCGAGCTTACAATATAGGAGGGAGGGAAAAGTGGTACAGGAGGAAATGGCTGTGGGGATGGATGGGGAGTGGAGGAGGTTAGGTGAGGTTGGGGTAGGCTTCCCTGAAGAGGTGGGTTTTCAGGGTGCGCCTGAAGGTGAGCAGGGTAGGTGACAGTCTGATGGATTGGGGTAGGGAGTTCCAGAGGATGAGGGGAAGTCCTAGAGAAGTCCTGCAATCGGGCGTGGGAGGAAGAGACCAGGGAGCTAGAGAGTAGGAGGTCCTATGAGGAGCGAAGGGCACGGGTAGGGTAGTATTTGGGTTATCAGGTCGGTTATGTAGTTTCGGGTGGCGTTGTGGATGGCTTTGTAGGTCAGAGTTAGCAGTTTGAATTTGATGCGTTGGGCAATCGGGAGCCAATGAAGGGATTGGCAGAGGGGGAGGCAGATGTGGAGCGTTAGTGAGGTGGATGAGTCTGGCCGCTGAGTGTAGGATCGACTGGAGTGGGGATAGCGTTCATTTGGGTAGGCCAGTGAGAAGGAAATTGCAATAGTCCAAGTGTGAGATGATGAGGGAGTGTACGAGTTGTTTAGTGGTGTCAGGGGTGAGGAAATGTGCGTATCTTGGAGATGTTGCGGAGGTGGAGCCTGCAAGATCTAGATAGCAGTTGGATGTGGGGTAGGAAGGAGAGGTGGGAGTCCAGGGTGACACCCAGGACTTTGGCGTGTGGGGTGGGAGAGATGGTGGCGTTGCTAGTAGTGATGGAGAGGATGCGGGGTGGGGGGGATATGTACAATGCACTTTAGACTAACAATGTGGTGAACAGAGAAGTTTTCAGTGATTACTTAATTATTTTTTTTTGTGTGTGTGTGTGTTTTTATTTGCAGATGGCTTCCAAGACTCAGGATTGTATACATCATGGTTATCACCAGATGATGCATTCACAATTTGGAAAACACCAAGAGCTTTCAACAGATATGAGAAGTCAGCTACTTTAGTGAGCAATAGTCAGTGCCTGCTAAAGCCTTTGGATACTATTGTAGAAAAGGCTTGGAATATGTTTGCATCAAAGTAAGTTTTTGTTTTTTTTTTTTTTTTTTTTTTTTTTTTTTCTTTATTATTTTTTTTTTTGTGGGGGGGGGGGGGGATTGGATATTAGAATGGTATTCTAGGTGGAGGTTGAGAACATGGGGTCTAGGGTTGGCAGATCTTATTTTTTGTAGATGTCACATTCATATTTATTCTTTGAGGGGACAAAACTTTTGCATACCAGAATGGTAACATTTAAGCAGTTAACCTAGGTTTGCTTTTGGAACACACCTAAGCAACTACTTTCTAAGGCAAAATAATTGTAGAAAGGAGAATCTAATTGTACAATACCTAGACAGTCTGTGTATACCTAAAACTGGTATGTATTAAAAAGTTACTGATTTCCCACCTTTTATACATTGTTCACCCATGCTTTTCAGGAGGGGCTGTTTACCCCCATCTCTAACAAGCCTTTTATTTTGTGATTCTTTTTGACTCATCTTCCTTAATAATTTAGATATTAAAATCTTAGCGACTATTTATAGTCCCCTTGTTGAATGAAGCGATGTAAACACAGTTTTACAAGTAAACATTTTTTTTTAAAACCACATATTTTGTAAGTTTTTACGATTTTGTGTTGGGCCGCATTCATAGCCATCTTGGGCTGCATGCGGCCCATGAACCGCAGGTTTGACACTACTGCCCTAAAGGGAAGTAGGATATGAATCTTTTATGAGTAATTTTGTTGTTTTATTACAATTTCCCTTCCCAAAACCCCTGCTCCTACCTGCAATGAATGTCAGATTGCCTGTTTATAAATATACCCAATTAGAAAACCATTACTGGTAAATGAAGAAAAAAATATTGCTTGTGAATTGCATAGAAGATACAATTTTGTGAGATTTGGACTGGGTGGGAAATGCATTGCATATGCAGCACCTAGTTTGTACTCGATAACATCGCAAAACAACGTCTAGTAGATTAATTTTAATGTGCTTTCCCACACAGTTCAGTTTGTAGATGTTATCCTTCTAAATGTCAGTAGAATCATGAAATTTTGTAACTGTACTTTGTAATAATTATTAAATTTTTTTTTTTTTATCTGTTTACGTACAGAGCATATGTTCATCAATACACAAAATATGGCATTGATGAAGAAGAATTCCTGCAGTGTTTTACAACACTTGAACAAGTTATTTCCAGCTATACCAATTTATGAAAATGTAATATAAAAGAGAATGTTCTAAATTCCAAAACTGTCTCTTGCAACATTTCACAAATTCGAACATGTAAATATCTTATTTATTGTTTAAAAAAAAAAAACTAGATTTTAACTTTCGTTGTTGGCTTTTGTTTTTTTTTGGGGGTTTTTTTAGTAGCACATTGTACTTAATTTTCCACCAAGGTCAAAATACTATCCCTTTCCTTTAGGAAACAAGGTTTAAAGTTGTAAATTGCAAACCAATCAATATATGGTAAGATAAGTCACTTTATAGTGCAATTAATATTGGGTAAGGTTACGCCCCCCTGTTCCATGCTCCTGGTGAAAATAGCAGATCTGTATGTAAAAATTATACATATTTTTGTAAATTGCTGCACATACTGTATGACTATATAAATCCTGTATAATAATAATAATATCTGAGTAAAGGTTTCTTTTCTCAAGCGAGGGGGGGAGGGAGGGTATTTTGGGAGTAGTGCCCAATTTCTTCCTTTTTATTTGTTTTGTTTTTTTTCCAAAGAACTTTCATACATTATTTTCCACATTCTAATGCAATTATACCAGGCCAAAGTTGAACATTTCTACATTGCAAACACCAAACGAAAAGGCAGGTATGGCCCTGACAGACCAGTGTGTTTTCTTTTTTTGGGTTTTTTTTTTTGTTACTTGGCTGGCCAATTAAAAACTTTATCCCCATGAGTCTAGTCCAAAGTTCCTTCATTTGGCTAAATGTAACCTGGTATCTCATCTATCTTGAAGCACCTAAATTACCTAAAGGCTCCATGCACTTCTTTTTTTTTTTTTTTTTTTCTGTAAGTACATACAATACAAGAACATTTTGTACATTAAAGGAAAAGAGAAGTATAGTTAAAGGATAAGTTCACCTTTTTGTAATATGTTACTATTGCAGCAGCCTCCACAACACCCCCTGTTCCTCTGTTACAGTGGGCCAGGAATCCTCTTTGTATCCGCTGTCACAATTAAAAAATAATTTTAAAGACATTTAGCTGTGCATGGCTCGGCCCACCTGGCCATGTCATTCATTCACATAGTTCTGTGAATGGGAGAACTTCAAATGCCAACAGCCTTTGCAGCTGTCAGCTTCTAGTTCTCAGTGAACTATCAGGGCATTGATGCTTCCTGTCATTCAGTAACTGCCTGACCATACAAGGTGCAAGCAGACAGCTACACTGACAGTCTGCAGGAGCCTCACATTGCACCTGCAATCTGCTAGTGCAGATTAGGGGAGCCAGAAAAAAATCCTCCAGCCTTTAGAACTACTTTAACTAACTTTCTTCATAGCGGAACACAATGGTACTAGTATGCAGATGTCAAGCAATTCAGGGAGTTCGGTTATTGTTGACATTCAAGATGGATAACAACAAAGGTAGTATTCCCTTGTCTTGACCATGTCCATGGAACACTTATGGTACATGCCCATAGGGGATTGTCATGTCAGTCTGATGTAAGTGGGGTGAGCATATAGCTAATGAAATAAAATAGGGAAATATAAAAGAAAAAAAAACAATGTAAATAAGACTAGTTTTAGATTGTGAGGGGAAATAAGTCTAACCACCTATAAGGCAGGAAAAGTAAATGGAGAATAGAGGCAGAGAAATGGCATAAGGGAGAGGAAACCAAGGTGCAACTGGTGGGAAACTAAAACGTTTGTAATATGTAGACGATTGCAGTGTAATGACACTGGGTCACAAGATCTTACATGTACCTAATTTAAAACTTGTCAGATCCTTGTGGTCCAAATTGAACATGTAAACATTTACTAGAATCCCTCCTGATCTGTCTCTCTGGAATAGTCCAGTTCTGGCACACTTCACTATCCTCTCGGATGCTTTTATTTGAAAAACTTATAGTAGGTATACTGACCCTCTCAGCTATTTACTAGGAGTGGACTTTCCGTTTCTTTGCAGACCTGCATGAGAAACATGACTTGCCATGTGTTTTTGCAATATACAGTGGGGATCGAAAGTTTGGGCACCCCAGCTAAAAATTTGTGTTAATGTGCATAAAGAAGCCAAGGAAAGATGGAAAAATCTCCAAAAGGCATCAAATTACAGATTAGACATTCTTATAATATGTCAACAAAAGTTAGATTTTATTTCCATCATTTACACTTTCAAAATAACAGAAATAAAAAAAATGGCATCTGCAAAAGTTTGGGCACCCTGCAGAGTTAATATCTTGTACTGCCCCCTTTGGCAAACATCACAGCTTGTAAACGCTTTTTGTAGCCAGCCAAGAGTCTTTCAATTCTTGTTTGAGGTATCTTTGCCCATTCTTCCTTACAAAAGTCTTCCAGTTCTTTGAGATTTCTGGGCTGTCTGTCACGCACTGCTCTTTTAAGGTCTATCCATAGATTTTCAATTATGTTGAGGTCAGGAGATTGTGAAGGCCATGGCAAAACCTTCAGTTTACGCCTCTTGATGTAATCCCCTGTGGATTTCGAGGTGTGTTTAGGATCATTATCCATTTGTAGAAGCCATCCTCTCTTTAGCTTTTTCACAGATGGCATCAAGTTATCATCCAAAATTTGCTGAAATTTTATTGAATCCATTTTTCCTTCTACTCGTGAGATGTTCCCTGTGCCACTGGCTGCAACACAACCCCAAAGCATGATTGATCCAACCCCATGCTTAACAGTTGGACAGAGGTTCTTTTCATTAAATTCTGTGCCCCTTCTTCTCCAAACGTACCTTTGCTCATTCCGGCCAAAAAGTTCAATTTTAACCTCATCAGTCCACAGAACATGTTTCCAAAATGCAGCAGGCTTGTCTATATGTTCATTTGCAAAGTTCAAATGATGATTTTTGTAGTGAGGACGTAGAAGAGGTTTTCTTCTGATGACTCTTCCATGAAGACCATATTTGTACAAGTATCTCTTTATAGTGGAATAGTGTACCACAACTCCAGTGTCTGCCAGATCTTTCTGGAGGGATCGTGCAGTCAAACGTGGGTTTTGAATTGTTTTTCTCACAATCCTGTGAGCTGTTCTGTCTGATATTTTTCTTGGTCTTCCAGATCTTGCTTTAACTTCCACTGTTCCTGATGACTGCCATTTCTTAATTACATTCCGAACAGAGGATATTGACATCTGAAAACACTTTGCTATCTTCTTATAGCCTTCTCCAGCTTTGTGAGCGTCAACTATTTTCAGTTTCAGTTTTCTAGACAACTGCTTAGAAGAACCCATGGTGCTGATTGTTGGGGTAAGGTCAGATGAGTCTGGGCATTTAAAACCTTTGAGATTGACATCACCTGGTCTTCCCAGACGATGACTGAGAACAATCCATGACACTGGCAGGTCTCAGCTTTGCAAAGGGGGCAGTGCATGCTATAAATTCTGCAGGGTGCCCAAACTTTTGCAGATGACATTTTTTTTTGTTTTTTGTTATTTTGAAAGTGTAAATGATGGAAATAAAATCTAACTTTTGTTGACATATTATAAGAATGTCTAATCTGTAATTTGAAGCCTTTTGGAGATTCCATCTTTCCTTGGCTTCTTTATGCACATTAATACAAATTTTTAGCTGGGGTGCCCAAACCTTCGATCCCCACTGTATATTCACAGTTGCACCATAGTTTGTATGCTCATTTAAAGACCAGGAACTTTGTATTTCCAATTACTCTTTGATAGGGCTTATAGTATCTCAATAACCAAAGGGATTAATATCCCTCCTATACTCTCAACTATTACACAGTAAATTGAGAAAATACCATTTATCTAGAAAATATTGATCGCAACACTTTTATGCCTAATATCACTCTGGAAGGATGGGATGGCTTTTGTTAATCACATATATTGGCAATAAATAAACTCATACAGCTGTATATCATTCAACAAACAAAACAATACGTAACCCTAACTAAGAAAACTAATGGGGCTTTAAAGGCACCATAGCACAAATTAAATACTCAAAAATATAACCAATACAGCTTTATTGATAAAATACAAACCACGATTGTGGTAATGAGGATTGAGCAACCAAAATGCTCATCTTAAAGCATGCAATGCTTATGACACACACAACATATAACATTACAAAATATGGTCTTAAATAGCATACAGATTATCATTGACATTTTAGTTCCAAGTTGATACTTTGCTTGTTACCCCAATGCATTTCGTGGAACACAGTCCGCTTCTTCAGGGAGACAAAGTATATAATTCTAAAATTATACAAAAATAGGCCAGAAATATAAAGGTAAGCATATAACATAGAGACAATAATAACAAACACTCTATTAGCATTTACCCATTGATGACATCAGTGAATTTGTGGGAAGCATGAACATTGGATCCAAAGAGGAGGGGAGAAAGAAGGTCCCTCAGTCAGAAAAGTAGATGTACACCTAATGGACAGAGTCATATAACCACTAATTGAAGCTGAAAAATCCTCAAAGTCAAGATGTTTAGAAATGTCCCAGAGCATTCAAACTACACCACTACTCCCCAAACTAGTTGTATATCAAAGCCCTGAATTCGGGAGAAGAAAGAAAAAGGATATATACTCTATATATAAAAAGAAACTAACAACTTCATATTATGCCATATAGTTAGATTCTCAAGTTAGTTATTCTAGAGTACTATGAATTTAGTTCCTTCTTCAACCCCCCCCCCCCCCCAAAAGGACAAACACTGTATGTGTATCTACATATGGATCTCAATTTAGTACATACCACGTCCAAAAAGTACTTGCACTATCAAAAAAACTCCAAGCAAAAAAGGTCTATCTGACATCAACAAAAGTACAGGTCCTCTGTTTGATATCAACAGCAGTCCAGATCTTCTGCGAAAATATAGCCATGAAATTGCTATCTCAGCTTTTAATCGTATATAGCGGACTAAACTGCCGAATTCCTGGCGTTCCCGCCGCAAGGCGCATGCGCGGTCATGTCATCAATATGCGTGAGTGATGTTACGACGTCCAACGTCCATGCATCACACGTCGTGATGTCCTATGTTGCGTAACTGCAGCCAT